ATTTCTATTCATTGGCCTATTTTCTTTTCTGATACTTGAATTAGGTTTTGATGCATAATGAATCCATATCAGTTATGAATTATCATTTTGTAGCCCTCTTTAAAACAACCGCTACCTTAATTGAGAAACATTTATTTACCAGGCATTTAATAATTTTTTTTTTGTATTCCAATTATTTATTGATTTATCTACTGAATTACATTACTTGTTTGTATATTATCAGAAATTAATTAGCACTTATTGTCTTTAATAAGTATTTTAATAGTAATCATAATATTCAATGTTATATCTAACGTCCAGCCATTAAGTTAAGCATTCATTATTGATTCATTCACTAAATAAAGAGGTAGCAGTCTTTTAATTTCTCTTTGTTATATCAACTTCTATTGGATAAAAACATCACGCACTCATTTGATGTTTATTCTTATATATACACACATATTTTATAACTTAGCATTCTATATCAAATTAAAAGCAATTAATTTGATTATAAATATATGTGTATGGTTTATAATTAGATACCTCATTTTTCATTCATTTAAATTTGTATTGCTTAAATTGCAATTTTTTTTTTCTTACAGCAGTTTCTGCATGGTCTCTTTAGCACATTCATGCCTGGTTTGTTTCGTTTATAGTTGTCTCTCTATCCTCTTTATTACATTGCAGTCTTCTTTGTGTTCATCGGTTCTCTCTTCCTTGAACCCCCTTGCTTCGTCGTTTTTTCTTATGAAAATGCCACCAGTTAACACTGATTACAACGCTAAAATCACTACCCTGGAGCGACAGCTCAGAGGTTTACACCGGAACATCGTGGGATGTTCAGATTATGGTTCGGCAGCACTTTCGGATCTTGAGAAAGCTCCATTATTTGAAGCTCAACTAGATGCTGCAAATTCCGATTGGGCGCTGTTTATCGAAAAATGGGAGCAATGTGACACCATTCACGCTCTTGCGGGTGAAGATTTCCCGAGTGCACGTATGCAGGAGATTTACGACGCATGTAGGCATGAAGTAATACAGGCAAAAGCTATCATGCTCCAGGTAAATCGGAAGCTAGCAGCGGAATTGAATCCAGCAGTTCAGGATCCTGTAAATCAATCTGTGGAACCAACCGCAAGCAGGACAATTGGCGCTAAGGCCTATTTATCACAGATACCCATACCAAGTTTCTCTGGTGAGATAAAGAATTGGACCCATTTTAAGGACACCTTTGTATCACTAGTCCATCACCAGACATCACTCACCAACACCGAAAAATTCCATTACCTACTTGGGGCACTAAAGGGTGAAGCCGCAGCTTTGGTTTCAAATATTCCAATAGAAGATAGGTCATATGTCCTAGCTTGGGATAAATTGATGCAAACTTATGACAATCCCAGGGTACTAGCGACATATTTTCTTCAGCAGATATTGGATTTTGAAACCAAAAATACAAGGAACGAGCTGCAGAATTATGAGAACTTCCTTATAGGTGTAGCCGACAACATTCAAGGTTATAAGGCTCTCAACTTGGAACATTCATCCGAGGTTCTGTTGGCGTTTCTGGCATTAAGGGCTCTCGATTCGCAGACTCGAAGGCAATTTGAGATAGCAAGGGCCTCAACAAGCACATTCCCAACGGTAGACGACGTAATCACCTTCGTCAGACAAAGGAAGATAGCCCTCACAATCTCAAGAGACGTTGCCTCCTCTGCAAGCACTACTCAAGACGATCGGGTTAAAGCACAGTACCAGCACTCACAATTTCCAAGTCGTGGATCACCAAAGTATAGAACTTCGAGTTTCCTACATACTAAAACCCCACCTAACAGAAATTCCAGCAATTCTCCTAACAGCATCAAATCACCTTTTTCTACTCCTGGGACAGCCAGATACCAAAGTCCACCACGATGTTGTCCGTTCTGCAAAGAACAACATGATCTGCCAGGCTGTTTTAATTTTTGCAACATCTCCGTAGAAGATCGCATAGCATTCGTTAGCAGTCTGAAATGTTGCAAGAATTGTCTTCGCCAAAATCATAAGACATCAGAGTGCAAGTCAAAGTTTACCTGTCGTTTCTGCAAGGCTCGTCATCATAGTCTCCTGCACGAGGTTCAATCAAATGCTCAAAGCACTCCTACTTCTACACACTTTGCAGGATTTGGCTCAGCCTCACAACAACAGTGTTCTGAATCCTGTTATATACTAGGCACGGCTCAACTTAATATTTCGGGTCCTAAGCATAGTTTGCACACTGTCCGTGCAATAATAGATTCCGGAAGCCAGCACTCCTTCATCTCACAAGCTGTGGTAGACAAACTTGGATTCAAGATCAACCCTTTGAATATTAGCATTGCTGGTCTTGGCGGTAATCCAATTCTGAAGCCAAAAGGCTCAATTGATTGCACCCTCAAATCACTTTTTAGCAGTGATGAATTCAATACAACAGCAATCGTTGTGGATACCATCTCTCCACCACTTCCCAGCACTCCATTGGAACCTATGTTATCCAGCTATTATCTGGATACCAGCTTTCAGATGAAACTTTCCATACACCCGGCACCATCGATCTTTTGATAGGCATCGATCTCTATCCTCATATCATCAATGGAATTCCATTCAGTTCCGGTGTTGACGAGTTATTTCTTCAGCCAACAGTGTTTGGCTTAGTAGTAATGGGGAAGACAGCATGCCTTTCAACTCCAGCTAAATCTTCGCTCTTCACTGGATTCCAGCAAACTATCAAAGAGCAGAAAATTGATACAAGTGAGAATCAGGACAAGATAACGGTGGGCGGCGAAGCTGTTAAAAGAGAAGAACCACAAGCAACTACTATATCGTCATTTAAGACCTTGTCTAATCAAGATGAACAATCAGTCAATGTTCTACTATCCTTAGGACAATCTTGTGTGGGCAATATTGATCATCACCAATTCCTCATGTCAAACCATATTCCTCATAAAACCAGTTTCGTTGACAAGGGAAATGGTCAATTGAATACCAAACCTCACATACGGTACACGAACACTTCGGATGTAGCGGTTCATAAAGAAAAGCGATCGCTAGTCCAGAATACCACCCGTCATGAAAAACAGCATTACAAGTCCTTTCCAAATCATCGATTAAGCATTTCGCCGCAGCAGAAGCAGCAACAGTTACAGAAGCAAAGGCAAAACCAGTTTCTACTCCAAACCCAGCACTCAATGAAGCCGCAATCTCGACAGCACATTCGGAAGAAGCAGTCTCGACAGCACGTTTGGAATCAACACCCAACACATACGGCTCAACACTTGGCACAGCAGCAGTTTCCACCAAGCTTTGCACAGCAAATATCCCCACATCACTCTGCGAAGCAACGTTCGCAACATCATCCCAGCACTCAATGCGGCAACTACCGCGACAATATTTAGTGCAGCAGGATGAACTTCAGCATTGAGTCAGGTACCATCAGACACATCAATCATTCAAGGCTCATTAACTCCCTCTGAAGTCTCAGCGCCAAGAAATGCGAGCTCATCAGTCACCTCGACATCAAAAGTCATGGGTAAACATCTGGGTAACACTCCAATGAACGAGGCAGCTATCGTTCGAAACTCCCAAACCACTTTGAACTTCAGCAATGGAAACATTACCATGAAGAGCCAACTCAAAAGTTCTCCAATGGTAGCTTAAATGTACACTGCTAGCATGATCAGATTGTCCAGACGGTCCGACCAGATCTTGTCCAAAGCAATCACTATCTTAAACAAGTACATATGGTAGGTTTCCTGTTCGTCCTTTAGTTAACCTCCATCTTCGTTGTATATATTTTGTTTGTATATTGTTAGGCAATTCATGTCCTTTTATAATTGTTAGTAATCTTATTTTTATAAATATAAGTGCCAAAATTCTTTATTTTGTTTAACCAATCGTGTTTTGTTTAACCAATTTTGTTATTTTGACCAATCAAAGTGCGATTATTTTCTTTTTATATTTTATTTACAATTACCATTAACTTCCTTAATTAATCATGATTGCTTATTATAATTTCATCAAACAAGATGACAAGCTTTTTTATTTTGTATTACCAAATTTGTATTAGCACATCACAGCACTATGTTACGCTTTTTGTTTTCATTGTAAATTAGCGTAGCTTAATTTAGGTGGGCGGCTTGTTTAGGGAACACATCAAACTTGATATTTGAATTAAATCAAGTAAGCACAACACAGCTGTTATGCTGCATATATATCTCAGTCATTGTTGTGACGCCGCCATTGTTGAAGTGTAGACGCTCACGTACCGTGATTGACTAGACTGGCCAGTTGAAAATTTTGTGATTCCACTGATTTATTAAACATGGAGTAAAACACTACAGCGGCCGGCAAGGGGCCAAGAAAGGAAGAGAGGGAAGATGAACGAGAAGACTGGCACAACAAGAAAAAGAAAAAATGCAAGTATCCCAACCCACCTATATTTAACCTCCTTATAAAATACATGTAATAAAATATAGCAATCAATTTTACTCATTCACTTATTTAATCCTTTAACTCCTCTAATTTTACAGTCCACAGCAATAAATTTTCACCAGCTCTTAAAGCAGAATTATTATGACAATATCCCTGACAGTCTTGGAAGGGATTGGCATAGTAAAGTAAACAGTGGTAGATGCTCGAACAGGGTTTTTATCTGAGCTTAGGATTGCGGTATCGTCTGCAAAAGTAGCCAGTATTGTGTCATTGAAATACTTATGTAGTTAAAGGATTATGAATACAAAAAAAAAAAAAAAGATACCAAGATACTTAAAATATTCATACTTAACAAAATCCAGTGAACACAAGACTACTCCACAAGTAATATATGTTCATTTATAATATTATGTTTTATTGCAAAAAACTAGTTCTTGGTAAATAAAGTATTGGAGGAAATAATGAAACTAAATATTTATCTAGTTTGCAAATATTCTTCTACAGGTACATGCATTCTATAAATAAATAATTTTTAAGAAATAATAAGATGAATAACGGCCTGACACCGTTGACTCATGCTACAAAAGATAACAAGAATCTCCGTAGGAGTCATTCATCGATTCAGCAGGCCCCTACCTAAAAGGAAATCTGCCGAGGTCATTATAATCTATCCAAGTAAATTTATCGTATCCAGTTCGTCGTAATCTTATCCAACTTTTTCCTTTGCTGGTTGGTAAAGAGTTCTTCTTCACATGTATCAGCTCTAGCGTGGTCTATGGAAATTCGGTCATCCAGGATGACCCTATTACTGATGATCTAGTTTAAATTACTGTTAGGAAGAATGAATCTAAATTTTTAGAATAAATCAATTTATTAATTAAGTAATTATAAGCAACAAAATATAAAAGGTATGTATATAGCAGATTGTAACGAATCCCTACGAAAGATACTTTATTGATCAATGAGCCCACCACAGTATATTCCCTATGAGTTAATGAATTAATCGATTTAATGAAGAAATTTTAGGGAGCGGAATACCTCATTGTGTAAGGTACTGATTCCTATGCTAAAGATCCTAGGTTCGATTCTGGCTGTAAACAGGTGATCATTTATTTTGTTACATAAGTCATGGATTAACCCTTGGGTAAGTAGATCCTCCTAAGGCAGGTATTTCAAGAGCTGTGAGCGGTGACGTTTTCAATTTTCACTCAAAATCGGTCATCTTTACTATTTTATTGTACCTCCTGCTTAGTTCCAAACCCAAAAATTATTTCAAAGCTGAGAACAAGAGAAAAACGTTTATAATTTTACCTTACATGTCATGGATGCATTGTTGTTAGAGATAAGAGAGCAATAAAATTTCATGGAGTAGAATCACGAATGGTAGCCCATGAGGGGGTAGTCAATCATGACTGAGACAACTGAAGAAGTAAAAGATGCGCTAGCCAATATGTTTCTTTTATTCAAACAGAAACGTGTGTTTTCTTCTTTTTTTTTACTTCTATTAAGTAATTGTATTATACTTCTACATATTTTAGTTTAAGGTGAAATTATGATTCATAATAAAAGGTTTTTGGCTATATTTATTCAACCATTTTTATTTTCTTGTTGCATTGGCAATTTTTTTTTCGAACAAACAAGTTTCGGCTATTTCACCATTTTTAATCAGTAGATTAAAATAACTATATTCTTTATGTGTTACTTGTTGGATATACCCATTGAAAACGGCGAGATAGCCGAAACTTTGCCAGTGTAATAAGTGAATAAATATAAAAATGGTTGAATATATGAAGCCAAAAATCTTGTATTGGATTGTATTATAATTTTTTTTTCAGTTTAAAACGAAGTTCTTAATTAGGTGTTAAAATAATTTGTTATACTTATGTTAAATACCTAAATAGTAATCCAATTATGCAGTAGCAAGAAATAAAATAAATATTTTCAGAGGGCTTAAAGATTCCATGCGAACTATGAAATAAAATAGGTAAATATTTAAAAAAAAATAATTACAAAGCAAAAAGATATAATGATAAAATAAAAATAATTATGCATAAATGTATAAAAAACGCATACAAATAAACTGACCTATGTATAACGCATTTTATATATGTATAATTATTTTTATTTATTAATTTAATTATTTTTAATTACTATATCTTTTCAGTTTATAATTTTTTATAAAATATTTATTTATTTAATTTCATGGTTTATTTTTCTGATCTAACATATTTATGAATTTTGGTCTGATGATATTGCACAATTTTTTTTTTTCCTGATCTGTTTGATTGTACCTCTCCTGACTGTGTTGCATTACCTTAGTTCTATGCGATTAGATGTCGTAGAGCGATGTTCTTTTTCTTTCCTGGTGACGCCTGAATTGGCTAAAAGGTTTTTTAACTTTTAATTATTCCAAAGATATAGAAAAATCAGAGAGGTAATAATTTATTTACTGCCTGAAAAAAACCTTTGAAGATGAAGGAAAAGCCTAGGGTCAGAAATCCTTAAAGAAAATTATTTTTTTCTTACATTAGTCCCTTTCGACATTGGTTAATACAGATTTTCTAATGATTAATTTGTTTACTGCCTGAAAAAAACCTTTGAAGATGAAGGAAAAGCCTAGGGTCAGAAATAATTAAAGAAAATTACTTTTTTCTTACATTAGTCCCTTTCTACATTGGTTAATACAGATTTTCTAATGATTAATGTTAAATATTTCAAATGGTGGAAAAAACGAACTTTTGATCAATGACTTTGAAATATCATTACTATGAAATATCACTAGCCCAAGACCTCCGGTATTGGCCTCCGCTCCCTCACTAATAACGAATACGTAAATAAGTAGTTATTGGTTAATAAATATATTTATTATATTTAATCTATACATGATCACTTATTTATCATAACCAAAATAAATATGGATTCGATGCGGTCATAGTAATATTAGCTTACATTAGTAAAAAGTCTGCAAATTATTTCACAATGGTTTATTATTTTCAAACAATTTTCAATCTAAAGTAACATTACCTTTCTTGTGACAAATTAAAAGAAATAAAAAGTTAATTCCAATTGTTTGCTTGAACATTTTTTTTCATCATTAGTAATTTGCTAAAAAAAATGGCGTTACTTCACTAACGCATTAAAAAATCTAAATCCAAAACCTTGGATTTGCATTGGAACATTAAAAACATCAAGAGACCATATCTTTGCTCCTTATTGTCCGATTTTAAAAACTTTTTTTTATTTCTTAGGAAATTTCGTAAACTTTAAAAAAATCATACAAGATCAACAAAAAGATATACTTTTTTAGTTATTCGGAATCTAATTTTACAACCCCTCATAATTTATTTACAGATTCTTTTGGTTGAAGTATGTTATATAGATACATTTAAAGGGCATGAAGAAGAAGATTTTAACCAAGTTTTATTAAAATCGGTACATTCGTTTAGACGCTACAATCTATGGCAACGAAGGTTTTTCGGCCGCCATTTTGAAAGTAAAAGGGGGATAGTAATGTTGATGAAGGAGGATCATCCTCCTTTGATTTTAAATCCAAATTAGAAAATAATGGGTCCAGTAGTTTCGGGAAAAATGCGCGGACTGTGGGCGGCGGACGGCGTACGGACAAAAACATTGTTATTCGTTTTTCGAATTCGAAGTATCCTGAAACGTAAAACCTCAAATTTTGAGGAGTTCAGTTCTTGAATTTTTGTTCGATTAAACGGTTCATTATTGAAAATAAAAAACTTAAATATACCTATATCCGACCGTAAACTATGATGGTTCAGAATATTCCCACAAAATATCCATTATTAAGTAGTCTAAATATTGATATGTGTTTAAGTATTCATTAATGAGCCATTTGAAATATGTTAAATAGTAATTTTTTACATAAATACCAAGAAAATGCTTATTATGAATGACAGTGGATAATAAATTATTCCATTGTAGTGTTCGTAGATTGTTAGTGAAACTTTTTCAACAGCTGTCACTACCGATGCCAACAGGTTACGCAATGCATTAAGTAATTCCTTTCAAGAATTTATATTGCGTGCTTGTATTTTATAGCGTCACTAAGCATTTCAGCCATTTTATTAAGGAAACAACTGTTAATAACTTATACCGAGCAGCGAAATGTAGAAGGCCTCACATCAAAGACAGGCGTCTCTCATTTTAATAGTTGAGAAATAGCCGATTTTCAGTAACATAACATCAACTTAAACCAATTAAAATGATTTTTTTTTTTCATAATTCAAATTGAAAATTTTTCAAAAAAATTATCAGAAACACAATTTAAGTTGAACCTATAAGACGAAAAATAATTTTGTTTCAGTTCCTGAAAATGATAGGCAGCTATTTTCGAAATGAAGCCACTCATATGAATCTATGTAAAGAAGTATATTGAATTTTAACTTGAAAAACGGTATAGACTATTTAATCGAAAAATCAGATTAATTTGCTCTTAGAACTACTAAATAGATCTATCAGGGACTGAATTATTTCTTCAGTTGGAGGCAGGAATTAGGCCCTGGAATTGTGATCGTGGTTGGACTTATAATGAGCAATCAAAGAGACGGTAATTTAAATTACAGGACGCAATACTAATTTGTTCGAACAAGGATATACCTAGTGACTTCCTTATACTCAATAAGTTATTCATGAACGATCAATTATTTTTTTTAAAAATTACAATGAAAAGAAATTAAGCATTCAAAAAAATCAAATCTGATGCGGTGCACGCATCGCACAAGTTTTACTTATCACCTATTTTTAAAAACTGAAATAATTATTTCCAGGGAAAGATAAGTGAAAGTGTCAATCACAGACGGTACTAAAAATATTGTTTAAAAGAATTAATTAACATATATTTTTCGCCGTCTAATGCGGTATCTTTATTCTCTTTTTGTCACTAACCATTTCTTTTATCGACTATATATTTTAATTATTTATTTGATTATACTGAACTCGTGAAAAATCCGTGCAAATAATTCGCAAAATATATTGTGTAATGAAAAACAGCAAAATAAAATTCAAATAAGTAGATCTTATGTACTATGAGGAAGGAATCACTTTATTTTCCTTGGTCGAGTACAGTATTTCACCATTTAATTTAATATACCAAAACATTTGTACATTTGTCCGTGGCCTATTTCTATATGCATAATATTACCAAACATATTAAAAATAAGGCCTCAGTAATAGGATTTTCTATAATATCAAAAAATATAAAATGTAGCAACAAATAAATGCCTTTAAGAAATAATAAATCTGGTGAGCGCAATATACAACTTTCAATTCCCGCTCAACTTTGAATAGAAATTATTTTCTGGCCATGTTGGGCTACTATAAAATGTTTAAATTTTTTAACCGATCTAAAGCTAAAAGCTTACAGCTAACAAATCATAAACAACATTAATCGTGGATTGTACGATCCGTATATTATTATTTCGCAACATTCACTAAATTGGAATTAAGAGATTTGCATTGCCAGTCATAGACAGGTCAAAAATTGTCAGACTAATTGAAAGTGGATACTCTTGGAATATCACAAAGGGAAAATTCTAAAATTATTATCTATCACACAAGATCTAGAATTATTAAACTACAGTAAATGTATTTCAGATTATAAATATATGCTTCATACATCCATGAAATGATTTTATATTTTACTTCTTCTTTCACACCAGTACAATGAAATAGTTTTTGAACAATGTCATTACCTTGATTAGGTGAGGTTTAAATTTTTTTTAAATAGTTTTTTAAACAGTATAACAAAATTGTAGATTTACATTTATTTAGTAAATTTCCTTGAAAACATGTGATTTACTTCAAATAATATTAGTTTTCAAAAATTATTATTTATATTTTTTTCACCACTCTCCGTTATCTTCTACGACTTTCTATATTAGATTTTTTTCTAAAAGTCTCCGCTTTCCAACGAAATATTATATGTATACCTTCTGTCTAGTATTTGTGGAGATTCATTTTCGACTTGGATAAGCATTTTTATTTTTTCCTCCTTTATTCAGTTTTCAAATTCATTCAAATGTTATATTTAGAATGCTTTTGTAACTCCTTATAATGTGAGATAGTTAATCATTTAAAATATACCATATTAAAGATAGTTTAGAGGAAGACGCATATGAACATTGAGCATTTAAGCCCTTTAAAGTGACATCAATGGTAATAAGTCCTAATTGATATTAAATACAACTTATACAATGATACACCGAGTTTAATTACAATCGTTAGAGCAGTTTTTGAGAAAATTTTAAAAATGTGTTACACCGTTGATGTAAAGTCGTACTTCCGGTTAGCCGATTTTTACGAAAAAGTTGCTGCAACATAAAAAGTGTATACAAACCTTAAATATGAAATTTCACTTTCGTGCGACTTTTCGTTTTTGAACTAGACTGTTCACATGCATACCCACACACAGATATACACATAGACCATTTTGTGGGATTTGGTTATTTCTAATCAGGAGACCTCAAAACGTGTATTTCCATTGAAAATTCGTCAACAATTTTCACGATCGCAATACTGTCCCTTACTATATATACCATATATAGGTAAGTGAAACTAAAAATAATAATAATATCAGCCAGGAAAAAACAGTTGTTGAACAATAAAAGCGGTATGTTTAAAGGGGATGAAAGTTTTATGTATATCAAATCTAATGGACTGTATCTTTGGTAATAATGGTCAAATTTGTTTTACTATTTGTAGGCAATTTACTAATCTCTCTAACACTCATGAGTACAATTATGAAAAAAAAGTCCATGCTGTTTGAGTTATTCGCAAATAAAGTTTCTTTTCCTGAATAACTTTTTTCCTCCTTGAATTTCGGGGAAATGTGAAGCTCAACATTATATTAAAACACAATGAAAATGATTACATTAAAATTAAATTATCTTTGCATTATTACTAAGAAACATTCATGTTATTAGAAAAAAGTAATTTGATTAATCAGGAATTTTGTTTATCTCTTTCTCTGATGTGTCCAAAGGCAGAGGCACTGTGATCTAAGCCTCCAACTCCGCACTTAATCTAAACATTAATAACGTATCCCATTGGCCCCTATACAAATTTCTGCCATATTCAGAAAGGCCATTGAGAGTATATTTATTATTAGACTATATAATTAATGTTAGGAGAATTAGCTCGGGGACTAGGAAGAGGCAGAGAGGACACAGCGAGCTGGGGCCTTGGGCGCAGCGAACGAGGAAGACCCCTAGAGGAGGCCGCGCAGGCAGAATCGACAATGCGCTGCTGCGCCGGCAGATATTGGCATGCGTTCTGCAATGTCACCAGCGGAGATGAGCCATTACCAGGGAGGTATATGAACTATTAGCAAAGAGGTATATGAACCTCTATGGAACGGTCGTTGTCTCCCGACATCTCAAACCGCTAGTTCGGTGACGCATACTGACTGGGAAAGTGACATTCTTAGGAATCCGATTTACATATGAGTGTGTCAGCCTCTGGTCCTCAATTCTAGTACCCTAGTGCAGAACGTTTGAGCACAGTGAAGAGTTGGTCCAGTGTACACAATGTACCAAGATCATTCCGGGTCCTCAATTTATTGATAAACTCTGTAATGGAAAAAAAAAAAAAAAAAAAACTCTAGATGTGGAGAGATCTAATAAAGGAACTCCATTTTTGAGGACCTTTAACAAATTAATTTAAAAAAATATCATATTAAAGGTATTGTTTCATTATGTTTACCTACATATTATAGGTCCCACAATGGGCGGATTCTTTTTGAAGTTGTGATGGTCGAGTGTGTTGGAACGCTGCCCGTTCTAGCATCCTGGTGTCTAGCGATGGCGGTTCGAATCCTGTCTGCGAGGGGTTGATTTTTATTTCTTGGCGAATCCACGGAATAAAACTTGACCTACCTTCCCACTCTGGTTCAAAATAGGTCTGGGTTTACTTCTAGAACAATCCCCCGTTATGCCAGTATGCCAGAAATGGTGGGTAGGGGGTAAGTGGCCTGATTCTCCTCTCAGGCTACATAACATCTGTGGTTATGGCGTCTTCGCAAGCCATTAATACCAGAGACGCAGCTGGGAGGATATCGCTGGGATCTTCCTTTACAGTCCTTTTTCCCATCACTTGTGGATGGGTGTGAGAAAGATAGGATAACCTCGGAGTTCCACTAAATAAATGTTACTAAATATTATATAAAAGAATGCTTGCATTTAAGTTGAGATTCTGATTAGTTTATTGCTTATATATACACACACACACACACACATATATATATTATTTAATCATTTTTTAAATTATTACCTTGTGCCGCCTTAGGATTGGGCACTGCCAGTTCACTCATAGCTGTCTTTTAAGAGGCCTAGAAGCTCCTACATGCGAAAAATGTAATAATTCACCGCAAACTGTGAAACACCTTCTAGTAGAATGTTCCAAATTCGAAAGGCACAGAGAAAAAATAGAACTAGGAAAAACACTAAACGAAATACTACAAGACAACGAAGAGAGAGTCTCCATCCTGTTTAAATTTTAAAAGATTATCAACTACTATAATAGAGTATAAAATATATAGAAAACGCCAATGACCCTTTAGCTTAGAGGCGAGAACAAGAGAAAAAAAAATATTACTTTGCTATTAATCTATTTCATTTATTTTTAGTTATAGCAAATATGGTATGAATAAACTCTTATATCGGTAATAGTAATTTCTTAGTTATGATACTATGTAATATCACTCGATAACGAAAAAATAAATATTTACTTATTTCCTTTTTCTTTTTTTATCCTCCCCTCATTCGCCTTTTGGCTATACGGGATTTTTACCGGGCCAAGTAACAGGTAAAATTCATACAAGAGTTAAAATTCCATCCGGGGCCGGGACGTGAACTCGCAATTAACTTATTACGTTAGACTTCAATTTGTCAGTAGTCGAGCAACGCGTGTTTTGCACACGCGGTAGACAACTCTGCCATTCCACCCTCAATGTCTATTTCTGTCTTCTTTTTTTTTTGTCCTCGGCGAAGAGTAGTGGTTTGACCCTCTAGGCAAACCAAGTCCTAAATCATTTATAGCCAACCAACTGCTCAGTACGCATCCCTGGTTACCACACTGGTCTGGCTGATGAATAAGAACATTTGCCCTCAAATTCCAGTGGACGATAATTTATTTAGTATGAGTTAGTGATTAATGTTGTCAAATGCCTTTAGCATGTGAAAAAAGGTAGTAATCATTCATTGCCCCGATATCAGTGTTGCTGCGTATACTTTTAAGACTAAAAATCCTATTCATGTTTTATTATTATTAAGTTTTAGTTGGCTAGTCTTAATAAAAATCAAAATTCTTACACTTGGTGGTTGATATGATATACATATTTTTCTAAAATAAAACGGATTCGGAAAACATATATATTTATTCACATTTATCACTGTAACAATGAAAGATTTCGACATAGGATTCAATAGGGAAGTGTTTAATAAAATGCATCTTATTTTGAATATTTAATTCCCGAAAGAAAAACCAAGTCAGAGGGGTTTCCACTAGGTGCGGCCCATGTGGTTTACTAATAGCTACAGTGAGCCTGGGCAGAGAGGTGTGTTTGATTACCACACTCGCTACATACTAATACACCTTGAATTCCCCTTCAGAACTAACCTCTGCACTCATTGATCGATTCCTGGAGCCACGGAAAACTCGGATGACGAAGATATTCAGTCTGAATTGACTAGGAAAAGCATATATATATAAATAATACATATAATGCAAATAGTAATAAACTGTAAAAACTATTTATTTTACAGAATTTCGTTTCTGTATACATTTGTCTCGTAAGTGGAAGGAAATATTTAAAGGGATAATAGCACATCTCAAGACCTCAAGAGCTACAAAACAGTTTATATACGGATGGATTTTCCACAGAAAAGCAGACAATGCAGATTTAACCCCTTTTGAAGTGATAAATAAATAATATTTTATTTAAGTAATTAAGAATTCCTTCACAGTATTTAGTATTAACAAGATAAATATTACTTCAAATGAATGTAGAGTTTGTCATTGTTAAAAAAAATCATAGAGGACTTTTAAGCGGATAAGCTAAGTTCTGTTTCAAATAAACATAAATAATTATGCACAATTTTTAAAAATAAAGTCAAGGTTAATTACGAAATAAATTATGATTCACTTAAACTTAAGTTAAAAATGAATTGAATTGATATCCTCTCCTCTCCCCTCCCCCCAAATCTATCCGTATTTTCTGCGAAAATGACTACAATATATTATTGCTAAGCTTTAATTATATTTTTCCATGGCCTGGGAATGAGACCGTACCAGGAAGGCCACCTGATAGATGAGGAGAACGAGGCGGTAGCAGAACTTAAGAATGAATAAGTTTAAGCTGAGTGCACAGCTACTGATCTAAACGTAAACACATCCACTTCCTATAATGTTACGTTATGCGTATCACTGCTCCTACGACCGTATTGCTTTAAAGAAAGTTTAGAGTAGAAAATAAAATTAGTGAGATAAATAATATAAATAGGTTAACTATTTTTAAAGAATTGCAATTTTTATTTAAATGCGAAAAAAAATAGAGATAGAGAAAATTAATCATAAAATAATTGTGGGTTGATGGTTGACTGTAGTGAATAATGAAGAGAAAGATGGTTGGGATGATCAGTCAGAAATAAAAAGGCAAATAAATAATAATATTTATTTTAACATAAATATGTTAAAATAAATATTATTATTATTATTTTTCCTTTTTATTTCTGGTTGATCACCCCAACCTGCCTTCTCTTTATTAATAATAAAATAGAGTTTACTGGTTGGGAGAACGAACCAGAACGAAAACCCTGCTTTACTATAGGCACAATTCTTAATTTTTCTAATATGATTTTACATAAAAATGGCAATTTTTCATTTTATAAATTAATGTAATCATTAGATTGGTAGAATAAATATTTATTTCGAAACTAAGTAATCTATATTGAAATTTTTGATCGCAATAGTAATTAAAAGCAATAAATACAGTGGCAATGACCTGTGGGGTGGCGGTATAGCAACGGTCTCTATTGTCACTGGCCTACAACTCATGAATTAAAGATGGGCAACCCCCTGCAGTTGTACAATTTGCACTCACGCTTAACAGCTAGTAAAAGATTAAAAACACAAAAAAAAAAAAAATATATCTAAATAGAACATTTGAGATATATATATATATATATATATATATATATATATATATATATATATATATATAACTTTTATATAGCTATAACTTTTAAATATAACATTAAAGGTTGGATCATACGTTTAAATTTCTTGGATAAACTGATTTTGATCAAGAAACTTGATTTTTTTTAATTTTGTGTGACCGTATTGATATAAAACATAGAGAATTTTTCGCCAAACTGTAGTAGCACTTTTGATTTTTAGTAAATAAACTACTCATCAAAACTATCACTACAACATTCTCAATTTTCAATAAAAGCGAAATATTCAATGAACTGTTGACCAAGTTTTAAAACCGATTGTACTACATGGGACAAATATAATTTATTATATTTTCAAATTGATGTAGAAAATATTTTGTTATTAAAAAAATATTAATAAATTTGGACATGATGTGAGGATTTTTATGTTTATTACCTAGCATTACAAGTCAATTTGATAATTTAATAATAAAATCATTATAATTATTCGTAATAAAGTTATAAAATACCAAAGGAACTGAATTTATAACCAGAACATAGATTATTATGCAAGTGTATTTTTTATTTTCATTCATTTTTAAGACATTTAACAAAATATCATTACGATAAAATCCACTCAATTGATATTAGTCAGATTTTATTTTGCGTATATGATAGTGAATGCTTATTATAGAATTTAGTTGATTACTTGAATTAACAAAACTAAAATAAAATATTAAAATGCAGCATAGAAGATGAAATTCTATATTATAATCATAGGTTCGTTTTCAATGAAAAGCAATAAATAAATAAAATAACGCTATATTTAATAATGGACTTTTTATAAAAGGATTTTTTTTTTAACTTTCTGGCTTTGCATTCATCTCTGTGTAACTTTTAAATACCAAACTCAGTTTTAATTCAGGTTGCTGCTTAACTTGTTTACTTGCTGTAAAATGTATTATTGTTTTAAATGCTAAGTAAGCAATTATTTCAAATATAAATTTTCTAATGGTCAATTAAAATACTTTAGATGAAACATTTTTTTAGCAAATGATTCAAAAGTCATAGTTTAGAATATCTGTACAAACAAGTTCCTATATTTAAAACCACAAATCGTGCATATACATTTGCATCCATTACGTCTCTTGATGTCAACAA